CCCTGCGGTCCGAGAGAATGGTCTTTTGAACTATGCCAGAATTGTAAAGAAACAGGAAAGTCACCATTTCTTTAGGTGCATATTGTGAAAAGAAAAGTGACCAAGGAATAATCTGTACCTTGTTTTTAAACTTTCCACACCTGTTGGAAAGCAAATGAAGTGTTAGAGTTGTAGTAGCAGCAGTGTGGTTGTTGTAGTTTGAACTGAACAACAGGGCAGAAATGACCTTTCTTCTCAAACCTTTATTTAATCAAATTGGTCCCTTGAGATCATAGATCTCTTTTTCAAGGGAGACCTGCAGCAAATAGGTTCCACATGAAACATAAAACAATAAAGGACATTATACATTATATTTACAGGATACATTTACATAGTTATAGACATTTACAAGTGCCCATAGTATCAACAAGCAATTCATTTAGCCTAGCTTTAAAAACATGCAGAGGAATGAGATTGCTCAGTTTCAATTCTTGCTGAAGATTGTTCCAAGCAAGTGGAGCTGCGCACATAAAAGTTGTCTTACCTAAGACAGTCCTTGCTCTTGGCACATCTAACAATACTACATCATGCGATCTCAGACAATAGCTGCTTGCAACTCTCTGTGTTATCAGAGAGCAGATATAATACAGGAGTTTACCCAACAAAGCTTTATAAATAAACGTGTACCAATGACTGAGCCTCTTTACAGTAAGTGATGGCAGACCTGCCTTGGCATACAGGGTACAGTGATGAGTAAGTGCTTTACAATTTGTGACAAATCTCAGTGCGCTGTGATAGGCGGCATCTAACTTGTTCAGGCAATTGGCAGGTGCATTCATATAGATCAAATCACCATAGTCCAGCACAGGTAAAAAGGTCACAGTGACTAGCCTTTTCCTGGCTTCAAATGAGAAACAGGACTTGTTTCTGAAAAAGAAACCTAGCCTAACCCTCAGCTTTTTAAGCAGGTTATTGACATGAAGTTTAAAAGTAAGACAATCATCAAGCCAGATACCTAGGTATTTATAACAGGCAACCACTTCTAGTAGCCTACTTGTCCTTGCATAGTAACAATATCCAAAACAGGCTCTGGTGTCTTTTTAGCTTTTGAAAATAGCATTACCTTGGTTTTATCAACATTTAAAAGAAGCTTAAGCTCAGCAAGCTGAGTCTGAATAATGTTAAAAACAGCCTGTAATTTAACACCAGCCTCCTTAAAGCCCCTGTCACACTGTCCCGAAGTTGACACCCGATGTACACACGAATATGGAATTGTGAATTTCGCACGAAGATGGCCCCGAACCACACACGAAGGCAACATTTACATTACATTTAAGACCTACAACTGCAACGAAAGTAACAAAAACAATTATGTTACAGTACTATGATACTGTACTGATATCTTCAGACTTTGTTCTTTACTTTATCCGTCTTTATATGTAGAAAATATTACGTTTTCTCCGTAATGTTGTTTCCATAGCAACAACAACTTCCTGTCAACTCTCCTTCAAAATAATATATTATATCCTTTTTAGTTTCACAGAACACAAATTGGGTTATTTACATAATATGTTTACATGATTTTGTTGTGCAATAAAACAACCCGATGGACACACGGTAAAGGAAATGTTCAAATTCGGCTGTGATCGTAGCAACATCGGGCCATTCGTGAGGGCATCTTAAGCCTTCGTATGACCGCCGGCGGAGTTTCTCAGGCTCCGGCAGCAACTTCGTGAGCGGTGGGAAAATCTTTGGCATGCCAAAAAATTGCCGAAGGACCTTGCAAAGTTTCATTTTCGTGTGTCAATGTTGCCCTTCGTAAGGCAATCGTGAGGGCATCTTGTTATCATCGGTGCCATCGGGCAGTCGCCCCGATCAGAGTGAGGGCGAATGCCCGATGGCACCGATGATAACACGAAGATGACACGATTCGACAAGATTACGAAGTTGCCGCTCACGAAGTTGCTGCCGGAGCCTGAGAAACTCCACCGACGGTCATACGATGGCTTAAGATGCCCTCACGAATGGCGCGATGTTGTTACGATCAGAGCCGAATTTGAACATTTCCTTTAAGCCCCTGTCACACTGTCCCGAAATTGACACCCGATGGACACACGATAAAGGAAATGTTCAAATTCGGCTGTGATCGTAGCAACATCGGGCCATTCGTGAGGGCATCTAAGCCATCGTATGACCGCCGGTGGAGTTTCTCAGGCTCCGGCAGCAACTTCGTGAGCGGCAACTTCATAAGGCACTCATGAGGGCATCTTGTCAAATCGTGTCATCTTCGTATTATCATCGGTGCCATCGGGCATTCGCCTTCACTCTGATCGGGGCGAATGCCCAATGGCCCCGATGATAACAAGATGCCCTCACGATGGCCTTACGAAGGGCACAATTGACACACGAATTCAACACGAAAATGAACCTTCGCAAGGTCCTTCGGCAATTTTTTTGGCATGCCAAAGATTTTGCCACTGCTCACAAAGTTGCTGCCGGAGCCTGAGAAACTCCACCGGCGGTCATACGATGGCTTAAGATGCCCTCACGAATGGCCCGATGTTGCTACGATCACAGCCGAATTTGAACATTTCCTTTATCGTGTTGTTTTATTGCACAACAAAATCATGTAAACATATTATGTAAATAACCCAATTTGTGTTCTGTGAAACTAAAAAGGATATAATATTATATTTTGAAGGACAGTTGACAGGAAGTTGTTGTTGTTATGGAAACAACATTACGGAGAAAACGTAATATTTTCTACATATAAAGACGGATAAAGTAAAGAAAAAAGTCTGAAGATATCAGTACAGTATCATAGTACTGTAACATAATTGTTTTTGGTACTTTCATTGCAGTTGTATGTCTTAAATGTAGGGATGGGTATCGTTTGAAATTTATCGATTCCGATTTCGATTCCGGTTCTGCTTATCGATTCCGGTTCTTATCGATTCCCCGTTTCGATTCCAAAATTGTAAAATAAAGAGGTCAAACGTTTAGATAACAAAAATATATTTATTCTTAAAAGCTTTAACTGAAATTGTTACTAAAAAATATACATGCAATACAAATGTATTGCACAATAGCTGTGCTTTATTTTAACTGAGCTATGCCTGTGGCAAGCTATTAACAGGCATTACACTTTGCCTTTTATTTTTATTTTTTAGTGTAGTGGAGCCTCACTTCAGAGTGTTTACCGCGACCTATCTTTGGTGTTATGAAGTGACTGAGCTCGTGAAATGTCTACGGGAGGGCGGGGGAGCATCGCTGCTGGGCAACTGTGGACCTCTGTCGCCTGTCAGCGCAATTTATATGATGCGGTTTTAAAAAATGAAGGGCGGTGCCGGCCGTCAGCGTACCGAGCCGGCCGTCAACGGCCCGCTGACGACCGGCCGTTCTGTGATTCTCCAGGTCCGCCCTGTATTCCACCGGGTCACCGCAGCACCGCGGTGCAGACGGACCCGCTGGAATACAGGGTCTACCGCGTTTAGGAACCGTTAAGCAGAACCGAAATTGTGTATTTTGTATGGGTACCCGGTACCCGGCATTTTCTTATCGGTTCTCATCTGGAACCGAGTTTCGGTTCCCAACCCTACTTAAATGTAATGTAAATGTTGCCTTCGTGTGTGGTTCGGGGCCATCTTCGTGCGAAATTCACAATTCCATATTCGTGTGTCCATCGGGTGTCAATTTCGGGACAGTGTGACAGGGGCTTTAAGACCCTGTCACACTGTCCGGAAATTGACACCCGATGGACACACGATAAAGGAAATGTTCAAATTCGGCTGTGATCGTAGCAACATCGGGCCATTCGTGAGGGCATCTTAAGCCATCGTATGACCGCCGGTGGAGTTTCTCAGGCTCCGGCAGCAACTTAGTGAGCGGCAACTTCGTAAGGCACTCGTGAGGGCATCTTGTCAAATCGTGTCATCTTCGTGTTATCATCGGTGCATTCACCCTCACTCTGATCGGGGCGAATGCCCGATGGCACCGATGATAACAAGATGCCCTCACGATGGCCTTATGAAGGGCACAATTGACACACGAATTCAACACGAAAATGAACCTTCGCAAGGTCCTTCGGCAAGTTTTTGGCATGCCAAAGATTTTGCCACCGCTCACGAAGTTGCCGCCGGAGCCTGAGAAACTCCACCGGCGGTCATACGATGGCTTAAGATGCCCTCACGAATGGTCCGATGTTGCTACGATCACAGCCGAATTTGAACATTTCCTTTATCGTGTTGTTTTATTGCACAACAAAATCATGTAAATCTATTATGTAAATAACCCAATTTGTGTTCTGTGAAACTAAAAAGGATATAATATATTATTTTGAAGGACAGTTGACAGGAAGTTGTTGTTGTTATGGAAACAACATTACGGAGAAAACGTAATATTTTCTACATATAACGACGGATAAAGTAAAGAACAAAGTCTGAAGATATCAGTACAGTATCATAGTACTGTAACATAATTGTTTTTGGTACTTTCATTGCAGTTGTATGTCTTAAATGTAATGTAAATGTTGCCTTCGTGTGTGGTTCGGGCCATCATCGTGCGAAATTCACAATTCCATATTCGTGTGTCCATCGGGTGTCAATTTCGGGACAGTGTGACAGGGCCTTTATCGTGTGTCCATCGGGTGTCAATTTCGGGACAGTGTGACAGGGGCTTAATGGAGGGACCTGCACAGTACATCACGGTATCGTCCGCATAAAAATGTAAAGTAGCTTCATTCACATTTTCACCTAAACTGTTGATATATATAGAGAATTAAAGTGGAGTTACGGAGTTCTTTGGTTTAATGCTGCTGCAGCCACAGGGATACACAAATGTGTAATAAATGCTCAAGTGCATTTGTGCTGGTGGAAGAAAGCCAAAGAGAGATCACTTCCTGAACCTTTTAAACTGAACACCTGAATACAAAAGTTCCTCTTTCACCACCTGGGACTTTCCCCAATCTTCTTTATAGATCACATGTTGATTTATATAAAGAATGTACCTTTTTGTCTCCGCAGTATGATTATCAGGAATACGGATCAAAAGACGATGACAACCAGAACGTAAGTGCTGCATTTCCAATGACAATTCTGTGCTGTTGAACATATATCACTTTAACATTGTATTTATTGTCCAGTACCAATTCAGAAAATAACTTCACGGGTTAAAAGGACTGTTTAACGTCAAGTGTCATGCAAACAGCAGCATAGTGCACCAGCTGACACACACTAATGTCAAGGTTTAATTCCAGATTATTTTATTGTGTTGTGTTCAGGGCATGATGGGACAGTAGGCCGTGTGCAGTTCAGTGTGTGTCGTCCTGGCTTTTGTGGCCGTGCACGCTGAGCCGGGGGATTCCAGGCAACCGGGGTTTATTCTCTGAAAGATGCCCAGTTCGGTTCAGAGAGGCTTAATGGTGATTAAATAATCCATTGCCTGCACAGGAAGCACACGGGGCACACAGCTGCATAAAGCCTTCCCTGGAGCGTGCTTTCTAGATTGTACCAAAAGCAATGAGAAAAAGACAGTCACAACGGTAGAGGTAAAATACGTAATGCAACATGTAAAGTCCAGTATGTGGCGAACATGTGACGTCAGAATGAAAAGCATTAGGTATAATGTAAGGGGGGGAATAAACAACCGTTTTTTGGGGGGGGTTTCCACTGGATCGGTTTGTGTAGGGAGGGGAACGTGGAGTTAATTTGATATTGTATAGAATCAATTACGAAATGTACATTAAACATATTTTCTTCGCAAAACAGGAAAAGCCCCTTTGTGCTTATGCAGGCATCAAATTAGTAGCCGAAGAAAATAATAAAACAAATTATAATCTCTCAAAATCTTACATTATGATTCAATCAATATCAAACTCATAAGTAGCATGGAAATTCCAAAGGAAAGCTGATTATTTGCATTATGACCATCATTTCTGTTATTACAAGTTTCATGAAATGTTATGTTTGAATATGCAAAAACAGATACACATAGACAGTTATTAAATCAAACACCTCATTGTGTATATTGAATGTTTTCTTTCCTCTAGTCTGAAACAAAGCAATGTGTTTGCCCTTAGTGTCTCGTCTTATGCAAATGTAGGAATTTTATTTATAAAAGCATATAAGGAAATGCACTGCATTTTATTTATTTCCCCATTGGGCTGGGTATCACTCTTAAAACGTATCAAGTACCGAAAGCTAGCATCAAATGTCTGCCAATTTATTTTACATTCTACATATTTTCTAAAAGGAAATAGATAGATGTCAAATGTAATCAAGATCTGTTTGTCTAAAAAAAACAAAAGAAAGGAAAGAGGAAAAATGGGACTAAAAAAACTCAAACAAAAAATAAACTAAAATTGCGTTGACATGCAGTAGGGATATGATTTGAAAAAAAAGTTAAATGGAATAACCTTTTTTTGAAAAAATGATTCACATCGTTGAAAAACCTCTTAAAATGATCAAAGTATTCAAGATCTCTATCAAACATGATTTGTTTTAGTTGTTGAAATTAATAAATGAAAAGCTGGGTATAAAAAAAGTGTTATTTTAGATTCTGTTCTCAAACTTTAGCATACTAGCTCAACAAGTCCAGCTTTAATCAGATGTACCACGTGTTAAAGTCGAATAAGTGTGTGTGTGTGTGTGTGTGTGTGTGTGTGTGTGTGTGTGTGTGTGTGTGTGTGTGTGTGTGTGTGTGTGTGTGTGTGTGTGTGTGTGTGTGTGTGTGTGTGTGTGTGTGTGTGTGTGTGTGTGTGTGTGTGTGTGTGTGTGTGTGTGTGTGTGTGTGTGTGTGTGTGTGTGTGTGTGTGTGTGTGTGTGTGTGTGTGTGTGTGTGTGTGTGTGTGTGTGTGTGTGTGTGTGTGTGTGGTGTGTGTGTGTGTGTGTGTGTGTGTGTGTGTGTGTGTGTGTGTGTGTGTGTGTGTGTGTGTGTGTGTGTGTGTGTGTGTGTGTGTGTGTGTGTGTGTAGTCTGAGATGGGCAATGAGTCTCAGAGTGTGTCGGAGGGCATCAAGGATTCTACCCGGTCCTTCCTGCTCACCATCAACCTGAAGGAGGGACGCAACCTGGTCATCAGGGACCGCTGCGGTAAGAAGATCATCATATTACTTTTACTCTGCCAAAATAAGCTCAAACAGATCATCTTACAAATAAATCATTTGTATAAGGGAGATTAGGATTTCAACTAATGTCTTTGCTGGTTAGTTTCCAGAAAACACGTTTTAATATAGTGTAAAAAGTCCATCCCAGTGTCTCAGTCTTAAATGATGTCTTTAGATGAATAGCTTTAGGTATAGACCAACAAAACAATACTTTTAAACATGATGTTAAAACACGGGAGAAACTTGAGTTCTTCCTTTGGACTGCAGTCTGCAGAAGGTGGCAGCTGTTCTGAGTGGATGTTATGCACACATCACTAAATCAACAGGATCTACAGGGAAAATAAATCCTCATAACAAGGAAGCTACTCTGACGCAGCAGCACATCTACGTTATATTTCTGTCCAAATGCACATTGAGAATAGGTTTTCTGTAAGGAAACTGTGGGACGCTCCATCTGATTAAAACCACTTGTACTTAAATGTTTAGATCCTAATCTTTATTCAAGCATTCCCTTTTACAAACACCATGCTTTCCCTTCAATTTATCTTAAAAATCCCTTATACTTGAGATAATATTGCATAATTCTGCATCTCCGATATGTAGTTGCATATCCCTTCTGTGGCAATGTGTACCCTACCTTTACTTTTTGTATGTTATGGGGTATTCTTATAGGACTTGGTGTGTGTATGTTAGTGTTTTATTTTCTGTGTCAGTGTACTTGTGTTTTTTTTGTATCTTCTTCATATATATAAAACAATGCCACACAATAGAAAATTGAAACTTTACTAGTGGTTTTGTATTTATTTCAATAAATCACTCAAACTCCTCCCCTAAATCTGATCAAATGTATTTGGTGAGAACATTGTCCTCCTTGCTAGTTAATCAAGTGTTTCTAGGTAGTATACACTCTTCTTCTCATTGGTCATTCCTGTCTTTCTGCTACCTCTGACACACGGTTATGCAGTTTGTCACTCATGTCATCATTTAGCGCGACCATGTGCATCTCTGTCCCAGTGACTAAGTGTTACTACTGTTATTCATTGTCTACCTGTTCTCACGCTCGAGTTGCAACTGCTACTTTTGTTTTACTCCTTTTTTATTTTGACATTGTCCGTGTCCTGTATCACTTCTGTAACGACACAGAGATCATTGAAGTGACATATTCCATCACATCTTTACTTATTGCACTTTCCTTTTCAGAGACTTTTAGAGAAAAGAAAAAAAACTATTATGCATATAAGGGTTTTCCCTTTCCTTTGTATGTTATATTGGTATTCTGAATGGTCTGCAAAGGCTAAAGTCCTCTCCCACACATGCCCCCCCCCCCCCCTGCCTGAAAACTCGTTTGCTTACTTCCGTAACATAGTGACATCACTTTGCAACACTTGTGCAAGGAGATGGCCAGCTTACCAATCAGGGCAGACTGAGCTCTGGTTTCAGACAGAGGGTGAAAAGTGGCAGGCAGTATGAGAAAAAGAAAGCGCTTTTTGAACATTAACGCATGGAGACATGTCACAGGAGAGACACAACATTTAAATATGAACCTGAAAATGAGCATGGTAGGGCCCCTTTAAACCTAGCAGAAAAGACCTGTGTCCTCTCCTGCGTGTGTGCTTCTTCCTGTGCTGACCTCAGTCTGTGTGTTTAGCCTTGGCTTGTAAGCGCTTGTGTCTGTTTGATTAAACACAATGTTTTTGACTCCAGGGGCAACCGAGACAGCCGAGTGTCGGGTTGTCTGTGCAGGTCTTATAACAGCCGGGGCAGGATTCCACACGGCACATTAGAACCTGTCTGAACCACACCCAGCACTCATTAAAGCAGGCCTTTCACTCTGGGCATGTCTCTGGTTTATCTTCTCTCTCGTGTGGCTTTGTATTTACACAGCAGGCTGTGGGTAAAGATAATGCAGAAAAATGATAGGAGGATGAAGGCAAAGGAGGATTTGGTTTCCCCTGCATGATTGTTAAGACTATGCAGCCTTTTAAGAGCAGTGCATGAAGAACATTGATTGTTCTCTTTGATTGGATTAGAAGCAATGCAAGCAGAGTGAATGCTGACAGTTGTTGGCTGATGACAAACAATGATGTGTTGCATACTGTAATGCTTATTTGCATTGGAGCATAATGCATACAATTTATAATAAGACAAGCAGAAGTTGTAAAATTAAATAGTAGGGATGTATATATATTATACTTTCAAACAAATGTATGATAATATAGAATAGAAACATAATAAAATATCTATTTATACATTTTTTGAATTTATATTTACACACTTTTTATGCAAACTGTATAAAGACACATACTGCATAGTAGTTAAATGTCTTAACTATATAAACTTTGATATCCTTTTATTAGCTATATTTCTATATCCTGCGCATTTACATGAAAGAATAAAGAGGGGGGAAATCAATGTGCTTAAGCCCTTAATGACAGCTTTTAGAAAATAAAATATGACTTGCAGGAGAACACGATGAGAGAAAGGAGGTATGTCAAAATACAGGAACATGACTATAAGGAAATCTTATAAATCCAAAAGGGAAACTACAACTGAAAACGTTATGATATTAATATCAAACAACAAAATAATAACTGCATTCAAACTCCTTGTGTTTGTGTAAATACTTGGCCAATCAGCAGAATCTGATGGTGGGATTGGTGGTCTGCTGCCCCCAGCTGGTTGACTGATAGAACAGATAGAAGTCACACCTCAAAGGGGAAATTATTTGAGAGAGCAGCAATGAAAGTGAGATTTGTGAAAGTGAGGTTTAAAAAAACACTTGTAAAAATCTTATAATGAAACATGTATTAATTCTGAATCCTGTTCACATGTTGTCTTATCTTCACCTGACACAAACTCACAGTTTTCAGCTGCTGTCACTTTTTGTAGTGGAAGTGTAAATCTGATTGGCTACTGAGTCAGGAAGCTTGTGGTTGAAGAGGACAGAAACCACATCCTCTGTTCAGACTCATAAGAGTACACCATGCTCCTCCCTTTCACTGGAAACCTGTACAGTTATTTTAGAAGTTGAGAAACAAGGGTGCTATTTAGAAACCTAGTTTGGAAATAAAATGCACGGCCATTGCATCAGTGTATTTTAGTCACAATGACAAAATGCACTTCTTTTCAAATACAGCAGAACGACAATACAATAAGTTCCTTATACAGCACTCGGGTGTATATTGGCCTATGAATGAAAACTAAACCTTTCCAAACATGGTTAGCTTTGTGTATGGTCTGCAAAGGCTAACATCCCTAAGTTCCCTCCAGAGGGAGTTTCTCTACCACATCTTTTTGGACTATGTAAACGTGACACAGTAGAGACACAAAATACAAATATGGAACCTGAAAACGAGCGTAATTTGGCACCTTTTAATACAATCATCTTAGAAAATACTATTTGTAAAGTTGAATGAACAGCTGCGTTTAATCCACTTGCTTTGGCTTGTATTTGTTATTGTTTTCAGGTACCAGCGACCCTTATGTGAAGTTCAAATTGGATGGGAAGACATTATACAAAAGCAAAGTGGTTTATAGAGACCTGAACCCCAAATGGAATGAGAGCTTCTCCATTCCTGTGAAGGATCTGAACCAGAAACTGTACATCAAGGTAACGCACTGTCATTGTTCACATAGTGGTTAAGTTATTTACAATGCTATTTATCACTATTATCATATCTGCTCTGTATGAACACTCGCTTGCCGTTGATGTGGCTCAGGTTTACGACCGTGATCTGACTACTGATGACTTCATGGGCTCCGCTACCGTCACCCTGAGTGAACTGGAGATGGACAAGTGAGTCTTTCATTTAGAGTTCTGGGGTAAATGATTCTTTTATAAATGAATACTGATTTCTTGAGAATTAAAAAGAAAATATGCTAAAAATAAGTTAACAGTAAAAATGTTTGCAATTAACAGATAAACAAACATTTTTGACAAGTCTTCTGTTTGAGTATACCATTTTTTCGTCTTAAAAGATCTGACTGTTTGAAAAAAAGTACTTTTTAAAAATGTATTCAGCCTTTCTTTATAGCAACATCTTGTGACTTATTGGCTCACATATATGTGCTTATAATTATGCTTTTGCAACAAGCAGTCATCGGCCAATATTTGATTTCCTAATAAAGTCTGCTTTAACCATTTCACACAGTTTACATTTTGATTAAAAAAAGATCACATTGTTTTGTTTTGGCCTCATGATATGAGAACAATTTTAAAGAAGCAAATATTAAAATAAAAACAAACAAATGATTATGTTTATCTTGGGTAAGAAAATATTGGTTTTAAAGTTAAAAGTCAATGCAATGTATTTAACAATGAGCACATAAGAAGTTCCAAAGCTGTGTCCTATTGTTTGCTGGTTGATCGAGCAAAAAAGGGCAAATCAAGTCAACAGTTAGAAGAATGTAGAAACACCACATCTAAATTGAACAATACAGCAACTAAGGATAAAAACAACATGGTGGATATGTATGCAATTTAAAGCAAAGGAAGCTTGCTTATCAAATAAAAACAATAGGAGATGGGCCTCCACTTGAGGCAAGCCTTTTATGTTTTTAGTTCCGCCTCTCCAGGAAGCAGGAATAACTTCTCTCTGACATCATGTCAACAAAACTTAATATGATGCTCCCTTTGGTCGATGTGTTCCAGGGCCAACGAGCTGCTCTTGTCCTTGAACGACCCCAACAGCCTTGAGGAGGACATGGGCCTCGTGTTGGTGGATATGAGTCTGTCACTCAGAGACGGAGACAGCAAAAGAGGCCCTGTATGTACTGCATGTTCTCCAACTGAAGGGACACCTGCTCTACATTGTATTCATTGCTCATGCATTGTATAGACTGCACATGTTTGTGTCTGTGCCTGACTAACCACAGTGTCATTTTGTTTTGCTGCTAACATGCATGCTCCTGTCGCCAGCGGTGGCCCCAAATGAGAAAACGAAGTGTTTTGGTAAGGCACTCTGAAGGGACCACACAAGACAGACTTTTTTTTTGTATCTGCATTCTAAATCAGTCTGCTAAATATGAATCAAAAAGATAATTGTAGGAATTGAATGTTAGGCTTTTAAAGTTGCTCTGAGTCTTTGCACAAGAGGGCAGCAGATCACCATGTTCTGTGTTTCTTCTGTAGCAAATGAAACCTGACCAAGACTTAAATAATTAAAGTCATTTAACGTCAGTTTCCTATTTAAAAAAGAAAAGAAAAAACATTACAAAGACCAATACCAACACTAAATTGATCCTACTTACCTTGTTTTTAAAGCTTGTCCTCTGTCCCATCGTCTTCTATTGGCATCCAAAAACAATAATACCATGAACATGGCCACCTAGCGTCCTCCTGCCACAAACACTTGATTCGAAAATATTTCGCCTTTTTTAAAGTACGAAAAGGTATCCATTCCTAAAAAGTGGCGTCATGGAAAAGTACTAAAACCTGTAAGACGGTGTAAACGGAGTGCAAGCAGAGATTGCTTACAATGACAGTTGAGTCAACTTTTGTTCATGATATCCGGAGAATGTCCATAGAATCAGTCTGGCACAACGTCCAGGGTTTCCCTTTCACACAATTTAAAAAAAAAAAAACATCCTAAAAGCGTTGTTACTTAATATAAAAATAAATAAATTAAGTAGAAGAAGGAAGTACAACATGGCTTTTACACCTCCTTCATGTCACTGTTCCCTATGGGCCCTTTAAGACACAAGTTCCTAAACCGCGTCACTTCTTTTGTTTATTTTTTCTCCTTGAAAATGTACTTAGTGTTGCTTTAATGAAATAAAACAATACATTTGTGACACCTTTAATAATATAGATGCACGTTTTCAGTAGAAACCAAAGGGCTTGAATTGGAATGCCACAGGGAGAGAAGGGAAGTACTGAGAAGCGTTGTTGGTTTGGTTTTTGTAATGGTTCTTCTTTAAATAACAAAAGATATGAAGAATATTGCCAGCGTATCCATTATATGTATGGTGGTTGTGTTCTGACCCGCAGAGCAGCTGCTGAATGCATGCTTTCTTTTTGCTTAGCATGCTATTTGTTGTACCCTCTTTTCTTTATAATGCATGCATCTATCAATCTGTTCAGAGGCTGGAACCAGACCGTGTCTGCTAGTGGTGGGAATCTTTGGTTATTTCAGCATTCGATAAAACATATATTTTTTTAAATAAAGATTTTAGAATGCATGCTTAAGGGTGATCATTTCAGGATCTACTCCAGTCAACTGTGCGCTAAGAGACAGTGAACTAAATTATGTCATGAAAGCAAAGTAAAGTGAGTATAAGACTATATATATATATATATATATGTATATATATATATATATATATATAAGACTATATATATATATATATATATATATATATATATATAGTCTTATATATCATTTCAGGATCTAGATTTAAAAAAATATAATGTACTAAAAAATAAAACTTTGACTCTATGTGTAGGATAAGTGTACACCACTTGCAATACTTCAATTATTATTTTCGTAAAAAAGGTTTTATTCATTGATTTGGATAGATTAAATATCTTAGAAATGAAGGCTATTGATTCTAACAACATTTGTTCTTCCCCTTTAGTGTCTGCATGCTCATAGATTGAGTTGCAGCCACACTGTTGCTGTCTTGCCGTTATTTGCATGACTGGTTCCAGTCCCCCTGCTACTCCACATGCTAATTGCACTCTGCCGGGTGCACTGAGTGTGGTCCGCTAAGTGAAATGTGATTTTTCTGCATGTGGCAGAACCGTCACTGTCAGCCTGATCTGCATGACTTGAATCTGGTTAAATAGATCTCCCTACAGTGCTGTCTTCATGTAAGCTCGGCTAATTATCCAAGAACATGGCTGCCTATTATATGTGGAAGAGAGACGCTACTGCAGGCCTGACCTAATCTCTCAGTGAACTGAAGGGACCATTTAATCCTCCTTTCACTGAAGAATAGAGAAAATAGTGTCTCATTCAACCGTCTCTCCCAAGTAGAATCTATTCTATGTATTGGACTGGTTTGTGTTCCTTCTCTTCCCCGGCTCTGCTTGATACATGCATCGTTATAAAAGATAAGAGGATGGTAAATAAGGAAATTAATTGGATTTGGTTTGATTTAAGTATACAGTATATAAGCAATATTTGTTAAAAGCTAAATATTTCAAAAATATCTGGATTATTCATTGTAGTGCTGCAGAAAAACATATTTATTATTATTATTTTATATACTAACCTAGTGACCTCATTGTGTAACACTCGTGCTTCTATTGGCTAGCGCTCTCCTTTCAGACAGAGGGTGAAAGGGTGCTGCAGCACAGGCAGTGTGAGGAAAATAAAGAGCTTTCTGAACATTAAAGCATGGAGACACGTCCCAGTGGAGGCCCAACATACAAATATGAACTTGAATCATTTTAACATCATTTTAATTTATTATGATAATAAAATGAGATTCCCTCTAATATCGTAAATCAAATTAAAACTGTAATATTAGTCAAAAATAATCACTATTAGTTATGGTTCTCTGAATTGTGCAGCCCCATTAGATATCCTTAAGGCCATTGGTTTTGTAATCTAACCTCTCCTCTCTCTGAACCTGCCGCTGCAGTCGGGGAGCTCTGCTCAGAACCTCCGGCTGTCCGAGTCTCTGAAGAAGAGTCAGCTGTGGACCTCTGTGCTGTCCGTGACTCTGGTGGAGGGCCAGGAGATGCCGCTGGACTCTCAGGGGGGTCAGCTCTTTGTTCGCTTCAGACTGGGAGAGCAGAGATTCAAAAGCAAGGTACTTCTCATCTCCTCCACCCCCCTCGTCCTCGTCTATTGTCCTCTTAAACCCTCTCTTTTCTCTCAAATCCCCCTCCTCTCTTTTCTTCTCCTCACACTCCCTTTCCTCTGCTCCTTCTCCCTTTGGCGGCAGTAGCTCAGTCTGTAGGGTCTTGGCTCAGGAACAGGAGGGTCACCAGTTCAAGTCCCATGTTAGTGAACTGGCACCTGGAGAGATGCCAGTTCACCTCCCGGGCGCTGCCGAGGTGTCCTTGAGCAGGGCACTAAACCACCACCTTAAAGTTGGGAGCATCTTTACTCTGACACCTCTCTGTAAAAATGCATGTCTTTGTGCATGTGTACAGTCCTTTGTGTTCATATTTATCCTTACGTGTTTCCATCTTATTCTAGCTAACTTAAGTTAAAGTATTACAGTAAAACTTCTACATACAAGATTTCATGAAAGTAAAAGTACAATAATATTACAAGCAAAGCATACTGAAGTATTTAATTACAATTCTTGTTGGGCAGACTGGTCCATCCCAGAGAGTTTGTATAACATATTTTTTGAATATTATTACTGATCCTTAAGCAGAATTATAGGGTAATGGAGGTGGAGCACATTTCAAATAATTGATGTTTTGGATAATTTCGTCAATAACAAACCTTCGCCTTTTATGAATTTAATTTATGATGTTGTTTTTGTGTCAAATCTTAATTTCCTAAGAAGCAAGTAAACAAAGCTGACAGATAATTGTAGGGAAGTAAGAAGTACACATTTCCCTCTGAAGGGAGTTGTAGTATAAAGTAGCATTCTATTACAATACCTGAGTAAAGTACCTCTAATTATACAAAGAACAGTACTTTACTAAATGTTCTTTACTTTCCATCACTGATCAACTGTTACATTTTTTCTAATATAGTAATATATTTGGTAAAAAATTGCAAAGTGGTTATTGTCATTATTTATTTGTATTATGGTATGTTTACCATGGCGTATTACATTATAATGTTGACTATTTTATGCAACAGAGTTTATACTAATGTATAAAATAAATGAAGCATTCACTTGTTGTCATACGGTTAGCAGAGTGTCACAGAGATGATGTATATTATTGAGCACTGGAATCAAATGAAATGGACTTCTGCTAGTGACATGAGAAGCTTTAATCAGTGCTCATCCCGTCAGCTGGATGATGTCTGAGCTGATTATTGTCTGGCTATTCTGCAACATCACCCTTTACACATCAAAGCTCCATGCTAATGAGCAGCACCACTCCGCTCTTTTCTTTCGGAGCGACAGTAATTACCGTGTGCTTTGATGTGCCATGGAAATCTGATGCTGCTTTCTGAAGATGATTCAAAACAAAAACATTCACACACCATTCAATAGAAAAATCTGGTAAAACTGATGAACCTCTATAACTACAGGCTTTTTCTAAGTGAAAAATATTACATTTACTTTGACAGCACTTGAAATCATATCATAAAAGGGAAATTAGGAAATCAATGATTTCTGATTTGAGTTTGAATGGCTACTCGCAGGGTTTTACTACATGGAATTAAAACAAATATATGTTTCTTGTTCTGAACTCTTTTTTGAATTCAGAATCACTGCAGAGTGTCCAACCCGCAGTGGAGAGAGAGGTTCACTCTGAACCAGTTTGTGGACAGTCCGGACGCCCTGGAGGTGGAGCTCTGGTCTAAAGAAGGACGGAGGAGCGAGGAGTGTTTGGGAGCGTGAGTCTGCATTCAGAAGCTGCCAGTGTATTATGCCTGCAGACAATGACCTCATCAAATTATACTTTGCATTTGAATTAAGCAATACTGGAATACTCTGCCAGAATCACCATATCATCTTAGGCATCTAGGCTATAAAGACAAATTGCCACGAATTTGACCTATTCTGAAAAAAGATAATCTACTGATTTCAGTGTTTCCCACAGAATGTGATTCTATTTGTGGGGGCACCGCACCCCCCCCCCCCCCGGCAAGAAAAGCCAAAGGCCCCTTAACCTATTCGGGTGGCCCACGCATCCACCCCCCCCCCCCCTCAAATAAGAAAATACATGCGAGTTCATGGCTACTGTAGACAACGTTCTTGTTGCTCTGTGTTGCGCTGTTAATGAGTGAGACACACCGGAGTTGAGGATCTGTGGGGTTTATTCTCCCAAAAATATAATTTACAATTTAGCAGACGCCTTATTCCAGAGCGACTTACAATGATCAGTTACAGGGACATTCTCCCTGGAGTAACTGAGGGCTAAGTTCCTTAGTCAAGGGCACACTAGTAGTGGTGTTACAGGCAGGATTTGAACTCGCAACCTTCCGATCATCAGCCCACCTCATGATTAGAACAGTGGTTCTCAAACTTTTTTCAATAATGTACCCCCTTAGGAAAAATAATTCAGCCAAGTACCCCCTGATCAGCGCAAAAACGATTTGTTAGGGAAGAAAAGCCTATATAAAGAGGTACAGTACAGCGCTGCACCATCAGTGTCTGATTTATTAAAACAACAACATTGTAACTGAGAAACACTACAATGCTACATTTCAAATGTTTACAATCCATCACTAAATTCATGGCAAACCAATTTTAATATCATGCAATAACACTAAGACGACATTAGTGCATTGAACTGATCTTTTTAACAAGTTGTATTTACAATGTAGTGAGAAACATGGGCTTGTGCTTCACTGAGGATCTTTCTGACAGGGAGGCAAACTGCAGTTATTACACTTTGCGTTTTGAAATATGTGTAACTCTGTTAATATAAAACCCACACTGTTCAAACTTTGTTACTTTTCCTACAATTAGTATATTTATTTATTTTGGGGCATGGGGAATGAAGAGAAAAAAATATGAGCATTTTATGAGCATGGGATTTTGACCCCTCATATAAACATATGCATAATGCTGCGCTATACTTTGCAGCCACAAGCCGTTGCCAAGCAACACTTATTGTTTAGGTCCTTTGATAAGCAGGCAGTCAAATAATTAGCTAGAACTGGCTAGATCTGATAGATTTAGACATAAACGCGAGTGAAGTCTAACCGGACGCTAGAGAGAGATCAGAGAACAGATCAGCTGCTGCTGACGGAGAACACGCAGCTCTGCATGATCACAGCTCCGCCGCTGTGACGGACCGGTGAGTGGAGCAAAATACACTAAGAGTTAGAACACACTTAGCTAGTTTATCTACTCTGGAACTAGCTAAACTAGTTATAAATATATGTATTCTTTACTGTCGGGTCACTTATTACAGGTTCAGCGAGCTGCACGAGACTGACAGGCTGTCAGGAGAGGGAGAGGAAAAGAGAGCACCCCGTTTATTGTTCCCATTTTATTCTCCAGAATTACTGTAGACTTTTGAATAAAGTAGTTCATCTACTATTAGTAGTTTGTTTAAATGCATTACTTATGTTTGTTTTTTTCATTAACATAAAATAAATCTCACGTACCCCCTGCAGTACTCCAACGTACCCCTAGGGGTCCGCGTACCCCCATTTGAGAACCACTGCATTAGACCACCAAAATAAAAATAAAAGTAAATAAAAATAATAACAATAGTTTTTTTTTAAATGTATGAGATCCATTTGTGGCGGACGATATTTAATTGTGGCGGCCCGCCACAATTAAATCAATGTATGGGAAACACTGGATTTATTAAGGTGTTGTGTGTGTGTCAGCCCCTGTTCATATTTGTATTGTGTGCCTTTACTGTGACATGTGTACATGCTTTATTCTTCAAAGGTGCTTTATTTGTTGAACGTTCTTTTCAGTATTTGTATAAATGATTTTCCTAACATGGCCCCAATAAGCAGCTTTACTATGAAGCCCTACATCGTTTCAATGAACAATGGGAACGATGTCGGCAGGCGTAATGATTTAAGCACAGGTTTACCAGGGATCTTTTAAAATGATGCTCTCTGCACATGTGTTGGTTTTTATGCCTGTATGTGTTTACACACTATTTTGCATGCATGTGACCATGCTTGACTGCATACCTGCAACTCCATTTGTATATATGTTTGTGTTTGTGTACAGATGTGAAGTTGACCTGTCCAGGGTACCCTTTGATCAGAGACAGCTGTTAACACACACACTGGACCAGGGCAAGGGGCGCTTAGTTTTCCTGCTCAAACTGAACACATGCAGCGGCGTCTCCATCTCTGACCTGTGTGCTGCGCCTCTCGATGAACCCCACGAACAAGAGAACCAGCTGGACAACTACGTCAGTACCTGTGTCTGCATATCTGACACTTTGAATCTATTTTCTAAATATGAAAGTCATGTTTTAATACATTTATAAGGGGACTTCCTGATAAACTATCCAAAGTTTAAGAAAATAGGGTCCCAAACACTTCACAGAAAGTATTTACAATATATATATATATATAACTAACTCTTCTAGAATTGGAGAGAGTTAATGCGTAACACCAAAACGTTACAAGCTAAAAATCACCTTACGCTAACCAAATATCATCAAACTAATCTAACCTAACCGAAATGTTCTGAAACAGTACTTTTTGTTAAACTAAACATTGGTTAAAAATAGGTATTTTATAATAAACTCTAACAGCTGCATAAATCAATTTTTTTAAATAGACACAGGTGAAGACATTGTTATAGTTGTATTATCAATATCTTTCCAACACTGCTGGTTTAAGATGCTTTTTACTAGTCTTGTATTTATGTACGGGGAAATAAGTTGGGAAAAGGTCATTAGCATTTTTTTTTTACGACATTAAACAGGCATTGTGGAAGATATTGCATTCAGTCAGCCCCAGGAATCTGCTATTCAACATGTTTAGATGTAATAATCAGGTTCAAATCCGAGTCAGGCCGGGTTATTTAAGTCTAAACTGTTCCAAGGATTCTTGCGGTACTTTCTGTGTTAAAAGGGCCAAGAGATGGCAGTATTTTCCAAGGAATGTTTTGAGAGTTGGTAACAAAGTACTCTTTATCAGCCTTCTGTAGTTTTACCTTGAGATTCAGTTGGGTTGCTTCAACAGCACTTGATGATGCACAGAGAGGAGGAGGGAATACATATTTAGGACTCCACAGGAGATAGCAAACCATCACATTCTGCATTTTAAATTCAGTCATCAAGCCTGTTTTCCTGTTCTTGTCTACAAGCTACAAATAATGTTTATTTGACTTCAACCGTCGACATGACATCGGTTTTTAGATGCTATTTCTTATCTGTGTTGCAGCTGCAGGTTTCAGTTCATGCCAGAAAATGAAACTATGAAAAGAAACTTGCTTGAGATGTGTCATCCATCGTGGCAATGCATTTGAAAGAAAGGAATGTTTTTGAGAATGTCGGTTGGTTTGTTGAAGAGCTTGTGGAAAGTACAGACATATGTGATTTTATAAGTCAGCCGCTGAAAAGAAACTCCCTTATCCCTTCATGCCTTTATAGAGTGCCTGGTGCAGTTGTCTCTTAATGTTTAGTCAAAGTACTTTATTATTATTTTCCAACAACAGACTGAAGCTTGCAAAATCACTGCTTTTTTGTGTGATTGTCCCTCAAGTCATGAATGCCACAGCTTCACAAAAACATATTTTAACGCCCTTACAACATTCATCATAATTCCTTGTCCATTTAGCACTGAAGTGGGTAATATCTGTATATACTGATACTGTGGTTTTATGGTTATTCTTATATGCAAAAAACACAGTTATTAAATACATATTTATAGTCAGAATACACTTTTTTGTACATGTAATATGTATTTAAATGTCACAATCATTGTTATTATTATTATTATATAATTTGTTTTACTACACTAAATATTTTGTTTTTTTGTTTCCAAGATACATTCCTAACATTTTGAGATAAAACAGAGCCTGACTCATGTATTGTGTGATCAATCCAAAGTTAGAGGACTGTGCACAAACTAGTGTGTTCTAGTTTTCATTCATCTCCATTTGTCCCCACAGAGTTTGAAAAGTTCCCTGAAAAACCTCCGTGATGTTGGTTTCCTTCAAATAAAAGTGATCAAGGCTGCAGATTTGATGGCTGCTGATTTAAACGGTAACACACACACACACACACACACACACACACACACACACACACACACACACACACACACACACACACACACACACAGGATCCCATATTTTTTATATCAAGGGTTAATCTGCCTGTTACATTAATCTAATCAATCAACTGTTTGGTCAATAAAATGTCAGAAAATGGTAAAACTGCAATCCCAGTTGACTCTTTCCAATTTGATATAAAATTACTTTTTTTTTTAAACATTTCCATATTTGAGAGGCATTTTTGCATGAAGAAATACTTCAACTTTTAATCCATTATTAATAAAGTTGTTGATTGTTTTTTGTGACAATAGACGAATCGGTTAATCAACTTATCGTTGCTGCTGTAGTCACACATTTTGATTTGAGTTCTCTTTGTTTTCGCATTTCAGGGACAGAGGGAGCCCAGTTTGAAATGTGTTTTCTTGTTCTGCAGGCAAGAGTGATCCTTTCTGTGTGCTGGAGCTGGGGAACGACAGACTGCAGTCCCAAACAATCTACAAGAGCCTCTACCCAGAGTGGAATAAAGTCTTCACATTGTCAGTTGGACTCTCCTTTTCCTGACACATTTTCTTTTTAATACTACTTAATGCATGTAGGCTGTTAGACAACACATTGAAAAATGGGGACGTAAAAAGTGTGCTTGTTTTTGTGGACTACCTGACCTAATTTGTCTGTCTCCGCAGCCCTGTCAAAGACATTCATGAGGTTCTGGTGGTGACTATCTTTGATGAGGATGGAGACAAGGCGCCAGACTTCCTGGGAAAAGTCGCCATACCCCTGCTCTCGGTACACACTACCTCCCCGAGAGTCCATCACCCGGACAATAGACTCATCTATTTACACCCTGTGTCTAAATTAAAGTGAAGAGGGCGATAGCACTCTCTCGCGTTGAAGACTCGCTAAAATGTAATCCAGCTTGACTGACGGTCAGGTGCAGCGACGAGTCCAGCACCTGATGCCCTTTTCTGTCCCCGCAGGTCCACAGGGGACAGCAGATCACCTACCCGCTGAAGAAGGAGGACTTAGGTGGGCTGTCGAAAGGCACCATCACTCTGGACGTGGACGTTATTTTTAACCCTGTGAGTAAAAGTTCAGCGTGCAGTGATGGCTGTGAAACATGGGCCTAATTCTGTCCGCTTGTCATCGCTTCATATCTTTTTCTTTTCTTTTGATCAGGTCAGAGCGAGTATAAGAACCTTCCAACCAAGGGAGAGAAGATTCCTGGAGGACAATCCCAAGTTTTCCAAAAAGGTTTGAAACAGTTCTGAGGATTTACTCTATAATACAGGGGTTTGGAATCATCATTTTTGTAACATACATTTAGATTTTGAAGTTTTTACAGGTGACATTTAAGCATTAAAATGTCTAAAGACAACTACTGTAGTCCTCTTATCTCTTTTCAGAAAAGGTTCAATCCTGTAGATATCTGTAATTGGAATCACGGTAGCGCGTTTACTTTGCTCACATGTTATTGCTACGTATCCTCTTAGCGTTGTGGCGAACATTAATTGTATCTACATTTTATGATACGACTTTAGATTAAGGTGTTTTTTAACTATATACGTTAACCTGAGTAAAGATTTAGATCATTGTACGTCTCGGTCTTAAGTTTTAAGCTAAATGAGCCTAGCAAACTTTAGCCCTCTATGCACCAGATGATGACTGCAATTGTGGTTAAGACAACAACTCCCATGACCCCATGCTACTTCACTACACCACCAAACTCCATCTTTGGTCACTGAGAGCCCCCTAGTGGAGGAGAATTATGTATTCTACTTTAAGTGTTTTTCTTTTTTTAAAGCAGCATTCGCAAACACATGAAGGATCAAATACCTTTCAACTTCTTTAGTGCTAAATCCATTTGTCTATAAATCAATTAGTTGCTTGACAGAAAATGAATCATCATATTTGCTGCTTTTCTTTCTCTTATGTTAGTAAATTGATTATCTTTGGGTCGGGTTGGTAGGACAAAACAAAGGCATCTCAAGATGAAAGATATGAAGACATTTGAGAAAAGTTTAAATGTATCAAAAATGTTTTGATGTATTATCAACCAATCGATTAATCATATATCAACAAAAAGACTGAGCAGATTAATCGATAATGGTCGCAGCCCTAAACACTCACCAAAGGTTACTAGCAGGCATCAGTAAAGAGGGCAAGGGTCAGAGGTCACTGCACTTTTGACGATATCGATGTGATGCTTGGATAATTAAAAGTTAGAAGAATAACAAACAAAGGTGAAAGACAAGCTTTTAAAACGTTACCACGTTTATTTTCAAATGGCCCTGAACCTAAAAAATGTCAGTTGTTTCCTCTAAAAAGCTACGATGGCAACTTCGCTTCGCCTGAATCGAGCTTTAATTGACCCCAACAGTGACTGAGTTTGTGTCCAGTGTCCTGCAACATTAGTTTGATGTACAGTGTGCAAGACAGGGTGCCTGACTGTCTGTACTTCCCACAAAGACTCATTGTTGTCAGACAATACATCGTTCGCCAACGCCAAAATTGGCTTACGCACAGAGGACTCCGATGGCAATGTGCGGGGCTTCCTTCTGTTTTAATGTTGAAAGTCTTGCTTGATGCAATCAGGTCAGATTATTGACATTTTTTACCCCTCTGACCACGATAATGCCAGGCAGGGTTAGGAGGTTCTTTGGAAAAATGTATTCTGTAACAATTACTAATTACCTTAAAACCTTTTTTTTTTTAATAAGTAACCAATCTAGTTATAAGTGTTACAATATAAAAGTAATTTAACTTAATTACTTTCCATTAAAAATCAAATGCAATGGCAATAAATACAAGAGAAAGGGAATATCAATAAGATGGCTTTAACTAAAAATGTATCCTCTGCTCAGAGATTTTATTTATAGGGAAACCTTTATTAAGCATATTTAGGCAACAGCCTATACACACCAACAATGAAACACATGAGCACAGACTACAGTTTCAAAAGGCAGAATACAATCTGAGCTGACAGAAAATGCTCCGTTTTAGTTCAATACATACAGCTAAGATCACACACTACGTATGAACATATAGGTTAATCTAATAAAAAAAAATGAAAACCATAAAGAAAATTCAGGCAGTAGGCGTTAAGATTCACAGTTCCAGTATTAGATTTCTGCTCCTAAAACAAAATGTGATATTACTACAGCTTATGGAAAAGTAAGTATTTTTATCAAATCAGCTTGCCTCAATAGTAGGCAAGCTCCTCACAACACAAATGTGGACCTCATTTTACCCAAAGAAAGATTTCTTTGATCTAGAGGCAATAATGATAAACTGGGAAATCAGCTATAGCTAGCTCAGTGTCTTGAGAAGTGTTTAAATGTGTTACCTAATATATCATTCTTAATTTTAAAATGTATTGTTCTATAGTAATGATGCATGTAACCCTATAATGGAAGACTGTTACCTTTTTTGTATCCTTATTGCTAAATCCCGGGGCATGTAATCCCCAACCCTAATGCCAGGCTACTGTCACTATCACACTAGTCGACTGGATGTTAGTATCAACACTAAATCAGACCTCTACTTTATGAAACATGTGTTTTATCCATTTAGTAAACTGCTGTATTTACTTGTTTTGCATGTTCATGTCGTGTCTCTTTCAGGTTCTAGCCAGGAACGTGATGCGCGTTCAGATGCTGTTCAGGGCCATCATGTCGACTCTGCACTACATCAAAAGCTGCTTCCAATGGAAGAGCGTTCAGAGGAGCCTGATAGCCTTCCTGGTGATGTGCTTTAACTCTCTTATCAAACTATCTGCATTTCCTTCTGTTTTCCCTCCGAGCTGCGGAAAAAACACAACCGCAGCCCGGCTATCCCCTACTTGAACTCTCCCAGCGAGATTCTTAATGAATGCGGTGTTGGGCTCAGCATAAAATAGAAAGGCTCAGCCCCCTTCTCTGCGTCGGAGTGGACGCTCTCAGCGCCGTGCGTCTCATGGATGCAGAGATAAGCCTCAGCTGAAGAGAGTAGCGTCCCAGTGGAGTCGAGACAGTCTATTTTTGTTCTACTTCCCTGACAACTCATTAACCCTCCGTTCAATCTGCGCTCGGTTTGATTTAGTTCCCATTATGCAGACAGGAGTCCAATTAAAAGCCTCTTTTAGAGATAAGGCTTCTTCTCCTCCTCCCATTGTTCAATATAAGTGTTAAACAAGTGCAAAGACAGAAACACAGGGCCTTGCCTTTTAAACCCTAAAGTTGTTAGGGTGTTGGTCCTTTTGACATTATTTCTCTCTCAAATCTAGTTCAATTGAAAAGCCATACAGCAAGTTGTGCATTAACTATGCAGGAAATCAGGGTCATGTAAAGTTCTTTTTGTTTTTGCCGCAGACTTCCTGTAGATGGCACTGAAGTTTTGTAAAGGTGATGGATAGTGTACGCCAGCCAAGAGTACAGTTTGTCCAATTTGCTGCCGCACAGAGCTGTTATCTGAACAGTAGCTGGGTTTGAGCCATGCTTTTTATTTTGTACTTTAGTTGAGGATCACTTGGGACCTTTTTGCTCACAGTGAAAATATTTTTAATACATAGTTATCTCAAATTAAACAGAATTCCCAATCCCCTTCTCTAAGTTAATTAATTAATAAAAGAGTTTATAATGATGTGTAATATTGTTGTTTTACCTGACAGATCACACACACTCAAGCTCAAATCATACAAGCATGAACGAGCACACACTGTACACACACACACACACACTGCACATACACACACGCGCACGCACACACAAACGCACACACACACACACATCCTCCCACTGTTTGAAAGACAGTACCATCTGTACTTGTGTTTTCACACCAGCGCTCCCTGCCATTTCAAGCCTCAGTGAGAAGAAATAAATGCCCACTTAATACCGCCACATGAGAGAAATGAATCAAAGCTTTACTCGGCATGACAGGATACAACCACCTGCAACATCTGCCCATTGTCAGATATGTGTGAAGACAGTCAGTGTACTTTACCAAGGTGTAGTCGGTATACTTTAAAATGTGCAAGTTATCCTAGTGAGAAGCCTCCAACCTGGCAGTAAATATACAACTTTTATAGATCACATGCTGTTGTTTCCTAATTAGTTAATTTTCTTAAGGGTGGTGTGACTTGCGGTCTGATGTGACATTTGAATATCCACCCATGGGCAACGTCATCATACACAATTTGTTAGGTTGAACTCCATATTTACATTGTTTACTATCCCTTCAGGATAAGGTAATAAACATCCATTAGCACAATAAAATAAGCGATAATCCTATTGGTACATTTTGCTGATCTAAGAGATGTGTCTTTTACCAGCTCTTGTTTATATCCTAGTATGCACACACCTAACATAATGCGTGTAAATAAGCTTTGTTGTAAACATAACTACTTAGTATATAATTATTCAACTCTATTTTCAATATGCACTCTTTTTGCACCAGGTACAATGATGATGACAGTTTACAGCAACAGGATCTAATGGCAACGTTTATATTAAACATGTGAATCAGCATATTTTAAAGTCCTTAAAAATATTGGAGCAAGAGCATTGGTCAAATAAATACCCTTGCTTTTTTTGCTGCTAAAGCCTTCCTTGGCCTATGACCAGCAGCGTATATATATTCTGGTTCACTGACTGTTTGGCATCCTCCTCGAGAATTATTCCTACTAATCATCAGGAGAAGGAGAAGTTATATTGTCCCTACTTTAAACAATAGTGTCAGTTATTTTTTGTTATGTTCTCGGATTACCGCTGTGCCATGCAAACCCTTCCCCCGAGCATTAGCGTGGAAATCCTGCTACAATGTGAAAATGTGCTACCCTCCAGTCCGGTAGCTCTCCCGACTTTAGGGTAGCCTTTGATTTTTTTTTTTTCTTCTCTCCGATCTGGATCACATTTCCAGAGCCCCTTTTCGCTGTCGAAGACTGTGTAATACCTCTCAAGCTGAAATGCGCTGCAATTATGACAATCTTTATGGGCTAGGTATACATTTCCACCAAAGCGTGACTTGGCTTTCCCCCTCACCCCCGGCTCTCCCAACATCACAAAGTCCTCTCTAATAAAACCGAACCCTTTCAGTCAGGAGTTGGTTTCATCTGCTGTCCCAGGCCCTGTTCTTGGCTTGTGATAACAGACAAGAGCATGCTTGGCTCATTGCACATTAAAGCTGATGGTGGGGGTGTTGGGGGGCTTTGAAAATGCCATCTTTTATGTCAGTTGGTGCCTCAGAGGAGAGTGATGTCTTTACCAGATGTTCACTTCTATTTTTATTAGCATATCACCAACCTGTAAACCCTTTCCCCACGCCTTGTGGCACGCTGCCATGCTGGCCGGCGCTGCCTCTCTCTGACGGGATTATTTCATCGTTTCCATTTAGCCCCACAATCGAGACATCACACTCTTTATCCCCTAATCCATTTTTTTAACCTGATGTCCATCACGAGTGGCATTTTAAATCTTAATAACGTATTCACTCACGGACTCCCTGTGGCTCCGGTGGGCCCCGGGGTCGTCTTTAATGTACACAGGATGAGAGACGTGGATCAATTAGACTTAATGTCAATGTATATACGGGGGGTGAGGGGGGGTTGCAGTGGTCGCCCCGCACAGCGTATGCAGAACAACTGAACGTAGGAACAAGGCTTTGATATGGTTGGGGTAGCCTTCATCAGCTTGACCATTGCTAATTAAATCAATAGCAGATTGGATCAACCTTTAGCTAGCGGGGGATTCAGGAACTATGGAAAATGTCTTTGGGACTTAATGAAGAGTTTGTTTCATACTCCAGACCCCCTCTGGAGCGTGACCCCACTCATGTGTGACCTCTGCCTGCAGGTGTTTCTGGTGACGGTGTGGAACTGGGAGTTCTACATGCTGCCCCTCTTCCTGGTGCTGCTCATCGCCTGGAACTACATCCAGATCCGCTCCGGGCGGGTCGCTCAGGACGAGGTGGGCATCTGGTCCTGTTCACACTCCTCTTTATTTATTTCATGTAGAAAAAGTTCATGTAGAACGGCAGTAATGAGGCTGTAGCAACTTCCTTAGTCTTCGTCTTTTTCTTCTCTTTCTTTTTCTATGTCTTCTTCTCATTCGTCTTCTTATTGATCTTCTTATTTTTCTATGTCTTCTTCATCTTAGTCTTGTTCTTCTTTGTTTTATTTTTCTTCGTGACCTGCTGTATTTTCTTTTAATAAAAAAACCCAGGATGTGGTGAGTCCTGCTTAGCTTTGTAAGCCTTCTTCTGTTTCTGTCTTGTTCTTCTTTGTCGTCTTCATAATCATCTATCTTCTATGTCTGTGTCTTCTCCTTTGTTTTCTTCCTCTTCTTTTTCTATGTCTTCTTCCTATCATTCATCTTGTTCTTTTTTGTCATCTGTGTCATCTTCTACTTTTTCTTTTCTTATTCTTCTATGTCTTTATCTTCCCCTCTATCCTCTTCCTTGTCTTTGTCTTTTTCTTCTGGACCTGTTGCTTCCAGTTCACATTGAATAACCTATTTATCTATAAGTTGTACAAAGACTCAGGTCGTGGTGAATCTGGAGCGGCTTCGTAGGACTTCTCCTTGTTTTTCTTCCTCTCCCTCTGCAGTCACCTACTGCTACCTGTTCACACTTCATTTATTGTAGAAAAACGACCACCTCAAACCCATTTTTCTCTCAAAATTAAAAAGCTGCTGTGTTTCCATAGCAACCATCTGCACCTAGCTACATAATAATAAAATAAGTAACACATAATACAGAGAAACCTCGCTGAATAGACTAATGCAACATATCATTATAGCCTAAGCTAATTTGCAGTACACGGCTTTCTTCTTTTCCCAGTCCGCCTCTAGTTATTGTCCTGAATCCTTCCTCTTCTTCACTGTAATTGGTCTGTTACCCTCTTCTCGTTGAGACTAAGTTTGTATGCCTCTGCTCTGTAAAAGGTCACAGCTCAGTGTTTTTCCCCCCACTGTGACCACTCTCCGTTTTACAAAAAAAAAAAGACGTAGCATCTTGTATGTGCTCAGTATGTAGAAGCAGTACACACCATAGGTTATAGCAAATAACATACACACTGTGCAGTTCAGACAACAATGTGCTTCATTTTACTGTTAAAGAGGCCCTCAAATGCTTTCTTGAGTTGTCCCTTTCCTGTAGTGTCCCTGATGGCTCCCACAAGATTGCTGACATCCTCGTGGATTTATCTTCTTATTATAGACACATGCATTTCCAAACATTTGGACTACCTATGTTGTAAATGTATTATCTTTTCAATTTACACACAGCATCTATTGCACGTCTGTCCGTCCTGGGAGAGGGATCCCTCCTCTGTTGCTCTCCCTGAGGTTTCTCCCATTTTTCCCTTTAAACTGTGGGTTTTCTCTGGAAGTTTTTCCTTGTACGATGTGAGGGTCTAAGGACAGAGGGTGTCGTATTGTCATACTGATATTCTGTACTAACTGTGAAGACCACTGAGACAAATGTAACATTTGTGATATTGGGCTATATAAAAAAACATTGATTGATTGATTGATTGATTGATTGATTGATAGTGTGATATATAGGTATCGGTGCAATGTTCTGCAAAGGCTTAAATCCCTGTGTTCCCTCAAGAGGGAGTTTCTCTCATACACACTCCAACCACCCACCCCCCTGCCTGAAACACCACCATTGGGCTACTTAGATTACTTCCATAACATAGTGACATCATTATGGAACACACATGCTATTGGCTAGCGCTCCAACATATCAGATAGGTTAAGGGGAAGGACATCTCCAAGCGGTTGACCAATCACAATAGAGCCGGTCAGTTTGAGCATTTCATTCATGTACCAATAATTATACGATGACAATAGGGGAACTTGAAGATATAAAAAAATATTCTTTACTGAGCCAGAAAAGGGGTTTTTATTCAGAGAAATACCTCTAACTTTAGCTTTACGGATTTAATCCTTGAAATGTTGATAGTATCTAAGAAATTATTACATTTCAATACTTTACAAGTATATGTCCCAGGTTTACAAAAAAATATGCAAAAACGATATATTATATGATTTTAGAAGTCATCTTTTTTGTAAGGAAATCTTAAAAAAAAAAAATCGAATACACATTCTAATGTCGGAGAATATTCAGATGACTTTATCGTCAATTCTGGACTACTCTATCGGAAGGTCTTTTCCCCTTTTGTTAGATTACATAAAGATATTGATGTATCATGTTCTGGTATAGACGTGTGATTTGTCTCACCTTCGGTTGCCGTGGTGCGTTGTGAACAAAGACCAACACGGCCTGCTGTCAGTCAGCTGTCCTGCAGAGTGTTTGTGAGGCTGACCCCGGGTTAGCCTGATCCCTGCACTGTCACAGGACGACCCCACCAGCACACTGGAGTTAATGCAGAGTCCCAGCGTCAACATGAGACTAAGTTCATAATGTAGAAAAGATCCTCAGCTTTATAATACAGCTGCTGTTTCATTTTCAGGACAATATGGATGTGGGGGATGATGAAGAGGATGATGAGAAGGTATGTACCTGTGTTTCTTTTGTTTGCAGTTCTTTACATTTAAGCATCTCTATTTTCTGATGAAAAGAAAGGAAGTTTATTTTTGACAAATTCCTATGATCTATGATTTTGGGCTCTTCATTCAGTACTAAATCTTCAGATGCATTTTGATTCCTGACAACCACAAGATTTTAAAAAGACGTTTCGGGCTTAATGAAGACCTCACCGACCAGCTTCCACATGTCACAACACATTCATATGCTAATAGAGAGGTGGGCGGGGGGGAGGTTCTGCTGCATTTGGGAAAGTCCCTGAGCTTAACACGCCCTATAATACCAACAATATGGAACTAATGACAGCACTTAGACATGCTTTTTCAAAGCTCATTGGAAATCTGGTGTTCAAAGTATAACAATGCTTTTTAGTCAATGAAATATTCCTTTAGTTTATTCTAGACGTTTTGAATGGTCTGGCGTAAAGTGGTTCTCAAACTGTCTTCAGTGGGAACATGACCCTGAACTGGTTGAAGTAGTTCAGGGCAGTGAGGGGGTTGATTGATATTTGACTATTCGTCTTACAGAGACTGATGGTCACCATGAATATCCCAGGTGTGATCCCCTCCGCAGCTCCCTTCCCAGGCCCGTCCCCAGCCTCTGGGTGGCATGGAGCCAGCGACCCCTCCGTGTCTCTGAGCAGACGCGAACGGACATCACAGAGATCACATAGTGACAAAGACCATGGCTTTGGCCAGTAAACAGTCCCCGATAACCAGCGCCCGCAGACCCCAGGCTCCCCTCTCTTCATCCTCTAACCCTCCTTCAGTCTCCCATGTTTGATGTGGACATGTAGCCGTGTCTCTACAGATCTGTGCACTGAGAGCCAGACTTCAGACACAGAGTCTCCTCCTGTTTACTCTAAAGCCATCCTCCCTCCTGGGATCTGGACGTTCCTGAGAACGGTGCCCTTTCTCTATCAAAATGTGGAGTCCAGTCCCACTCTGAAGAGCATTCAATTCACAGCCAGTGAAGCTGTTAGAGAATCTGCCTTTACATTCTGCAGACTGTTCGGTGTCTTTCTCTGAGACAAATATACTTAAAGTACCAAAAGTAATAACACTTAATATGCCAATTTTAGAATCAAATATACGATATGTTTCTATGATAGTTATTGATGTATTAATGACGTGTTAATCAAGATGTAACTGTGGAACTCAATCTAATGACTTTGTATACAGCAGGGTATCTTGTGAATCTAATCAAGTCCTATTTAAGTTTTGATCATGTTGTTTTTATTATTATTCCATATCTGTAAAGTAATTAACGAAATGAAGGTAGTACATTAATGTAGTTGGGTAGAAGTATAAAGTAGCATTACATTTAAAAAAATCCCAAGTTAAGTACAAGGAGCACAAAATTGTACTTGTATCTACTTCAAATGTTTTACTTATATTGAATTATTGTTTTCATATATTAATGTTCCTAAAATATGTATGTGATACCACATCTTGTATACAAGGGCAGTGTAAACGGTTAATCAATATATACCCCGATAAAACAACTAAAACAGCAAATAAGAGCAGAAAACACACCCTTCCCGTTATACACCGTTTATAAACTTCTGATCCTTTTTGGTTTAACTAGGAGTCGGAGAGAAAAGGGCTGATGGAGAAAATCCACATGATCCAAGACACCATCATCACCCTTCAAACCCTGCTGGATGGGATCGCTAACTTTGGGGAAAGGATTAAAAAGTAAGAATTTACCAAACCACCATGAATCACAGCTCATTATCTGTATTTGCTTTCAGCTCAAATGTCTTGAATCACAATATGAAATGTATTAAAAGCTTCTCCTGTATAAAGTCTGCATTAGAGGGGCCACATGTTTTTATTACAACAAGTACTGTATTTTACAGACAAAGATGAAATTAAGTTGGAATACTTACTGATGATTTATCTTTTTAGCACTTTCAACTGGTCGGTGCCATTCCTGTCCGGCCTGGCTATCCTCATTTTTGTCACGGCAACAATCCTCACGTACTACGTCCCTGTTCGATACGTGGTTCTAATATGGGGTGAGTGTCAAACACAGTTTATTAAGTTGTGTGTTTATCTGCCTGTTGGCCTTTATTTAAACAAAGTAAAATATGTCCTTTATCATGTTTTGATTGTCTATAAGATGTATAGCATCCCAGGAATATTTGCTGCTTATATTTTCTGGCTGTTGAGTCCCTTCCCCATTATCTCCTTAATATTAGCTGCTTATAATGTACTGAATGAGTTAAGGCAGATCTTAATGGTGTTAAAAGTATTACAGCCTAAGCAGTGAAAGTAAAAGAAGAATAAAGGCTGCAGCAGTAATATTTCTCGGACGGCGTGAGCCTCCTCTGCAGGTATTTGTTTGTGTGGAAACAAAGAGCGCAGCCACAAGAGACTAGCGTTAATAATACGTTGGGTGTGAATTTCTGTTTTAGGCATCAATAAATTCACCAAGAAATTACGGAACCCGTACAGCATCGACAACAATGAAGTGGTTGATTTCCTGTCGAGGGTGCCTTCAGATGTGCAGAAGGTAAGCCGGCCAGGAAGCCCAAAATCCCCGAGCCCCGCTACGCTGTGCCTCGCGCTAAAACAACTCCCAGGCATTCTTCCCCCTTGTCTGTATAATTAGCTTCATCTGTATAATTATGTAGCCCCGTATAATTTCTGTTGTGTTTTTGGTCGTGATACATCCCCGGTGGAGGTCTGCTACTTTAGCTGCTTTGCAGGGCAAGCTGTTCCCAGGCTGCCTCCTGTATGAACTCCCCCCCCCCCCCCCCCCCCCCCCCCCCCCCTCAGCAGGAGCAGAATATAGATATCTCCTCCAACTCGCATACACCCACGGCTAGGCGATAGGAAGAGTCCAATAACACTATATAAAATATTGCAGCAGTATTTGTGCTTTCCCAAATATAATGTGTATATAGTAAAGATATGTATTATTGTATTATTATAATTGTATTTATAAACATTAGTAGTGTGCCGTAGTGGAATAAGTACTCTGATCCCTTACTTAAGTCAAACTAAACATTCTACAGTCTAAACGTTCTGAGTTAAAAAAAAAAAAATGTGTACAGAAGTATTATCAGTATGCAGATTGACTCTTCTTCTGACTCTTATATTAGAGATATTATATTATTCTATTTATTTCTAACAAATACATGTAAGAGCATTTTTATGTTGTTTGTCAACACTGATCCAATTTAAGTTAAATACTATTGACTAGTACTACAATACTGCATCATATCAGCATAGCATGCATTTTTGTGTTAATAGTAACTGTAGGTTCAAAATAAATGTATAATTAATCATATTTGAAATATAAAATGGTAGAAGTATAAAGTAGCATCAAATGGAATACAAAGCATGACAAAAAGGTGCTTGAGTAAATCACTCAAAAAAATGTTCTTGTGACATTCCAACACTGGTAATCTAAATAAAATTAAAAATCCCTTTTACGCTTGATTTCATTTTTCAACAGCAGTGCCAACAATAAAACCATTATGGAAACACTAGTCGTGGTATGTTGAAAAGTTGTCTAAGGCCAATTTAAAGTATGAAACATTTACAAAAGATCTGTTGGCATTCTCCTTTCTTGTATCCTCTTTCCTTTCTTTATTTTCTCTTTTTACCCGCTGTTGTCTCTCCTCCTCATCCTCTCTGTGTCTATCCTTTTCTCTTTTAAGTCGTTTGACCCCATTTGCCTCCTCCCTGTCCTTCTTGAATGCCCTTGGGCCTCTGGGTTTCGTGACGGAGACTATAGCTTCTCGGCCAGCCACTGTTATTTCTGTCTATGCATGACTGTGGTCGTCCTGCTCAATAGTGGTAGTTCTCCCTTATAACGTGGTGCAGGAATTAGTTAGCATTTTACCCCTTTCTATTCCCTTGTTTTGAAATCAACGGTTCTTTTTTTGCGTATTAGATACCTGTGGTTACCTTAAGAGATGTTCAGGTTTTGTTCTAACATTGTGATGTAGTTTGTTTATAGCCTAACATTAGCTGCCTTTAGCTTAGCAGTGGTAGTTTGTTTATAGCCTAACATTAGCTGCCTTTAGCTCATCAGTGGTATTTTGTTTAGCATAACATTAGCTGCCTTCAGCTTAGCAGTGGTAGTTTGTTTATAGCCTAACATTAGCTGCCTTTAGCTTAGCAGTGGTAGTCAGTTTATAGCCTAACATTAGCTGCCTTTAGCTAAGCAGTGGTAGTTTGTTTATAGCCTAACATTAGCTGCCTTTAGCTTAGCAGTGGTAGTTTGTTTATAGCCTAACATTAGCTGCCTTTAGCTCATCAGTGGTATTTTGTTTAGCATAACATTAGCTGCCTTCAGCTTAGCAGTGGTAGTTTGTTTATAGCCTAACATTAGCTGCCTTTAGCTTAGCAGTGGTAGTTTGTTTATAGCCTAACATTAGCTGCCTTTAGCTTAGCAGTGGTAGTTTGTTTATAGCCTAACACTAGCTGCCTTTAGCTTAGCAGTGGTAGTTTGTTTATAGCCTAACATTAGCTGCCTTTAGCTAAGCAGTGGTAGTTTGTTTATAGCCTAACATTAGCTGCCTTTAGCTTAGCAGTGGTAGTCAGTTTATAGCCTAACATTAGCTGCCTTTAGCTTAGCAGTGGTAGTCAGTTTATAGCCTAACATTAGCTGCCTTTAGCTTAGCAGTGGAAGTCTGTTTATAGCCTTACATTAGCTTTTTGGTTCTGCTGATTGCATTTATGCTTTAAAAAAATCATAAAGTGGTTTTACTATGTGAAGACGATCCTTCGTAAAAAAACGAGTTAGTATCATAAACGTGTGTTTCTCAGATCCTTTTTCTCCAATAGGCTATTCCAAAATCCAATGGGAAAATACCATTTAGACTTTTATCAATTGCGCCCTTGAGATGCTAACTTCTGAATCGGCCTACAAAAATATGTCATAAGTCTGCAAAACTCTATTGAAAATTGTATCTGTTTTGCAATGAATAAAAGCTGCAAGATGGAGAGAAATAAATGATTATTGTTATAAAAAATAAGAACAACACTTAAGTTGCTCTGGTTTTACAGTGACTCATGTTCGTATTCCCTGCAGGTTCAGTACAGTGAGAGGAGAGGCAGCAGAAAGAAGAAACTCCTGTAGTTCCTCCTCAAAAACGGTTCCCAGAGGACCTGCATGTCTCTGGGTGTGTGGTAGGTTTGAATCTAAATCAGATGTGGTGATACACGGCGCGCCAAACAGACCCTTCAACCAAAGAAGTCCTTTTGAGGACCCCGCAGCGATGACCGAGGAGAAAAATGTGTTATTTAATTTCCAAAGATTGTATATGTACAGTTTTTTTCTTTTAGATAATCAGAAGCTGCTTTATTTTATATATTTCATGGCCCCAGGTTATGTTTTCCTGAAACCAGCAGAAATATCAGTTTGTATTATATTGAATGTATGTGCTGGGTGTGTAACATTTGTTCGATATTTTTATGTTACTTACACTGAAAATGTGCGGACTTCCAAAATGGAATAATCACCTAATGGTGAACAAAGTTGCTGTTGCTGAAATGAAAGTACATTTAATTATGGGTTACTTTTTATGGGTTACGAGTCATCATAAGAAATGTTCTTGGAAAATGGTTTGAAGTGCATGGTATTTGTGGTTTAAAAGAATATGATGAATTTCCGGTTTAAATTATTAAGGCTTTCTTATGTACATATTACGCTGGCCCTGAAAGTCAATAACAACATTTCACAAAACACAATCACAATTCAGAAAACCCAACAACATTAACACAAACAGGTTTTGCAGGTCTCCCTTGAAAAAGAGATATATGATCTCAATGGGACCAATCTGGTTAAATAAAGGTTTGAAATTAAAAGGGAGGTAGGTCTTTGAAATGGATTCCTTCTTTGCTGATTAGATTCGTCTGTCAGTCTAAGCAAAGGATGATACTTCTTATTTAGGGCAAAGACTGGCCCACATATCCCATAATGCCCAGTGGTGGCTAATTGATTACGTTTGCTGAAGAGTTGACGCTTTTTTTTTTAATGTTACTTTTTGAGGAATCCATGTCCAATACGTGCCTACATTTTTCGATTATAGGAAATGTTGTCGTATTTCTCCATTGCTGCTGTGTTTTTTTAAATCTCGTGTTTTCAAAAAATTGTATCTTTGAAAATGTTGTGTTTCGACCATCAGGGCCACCGTACCATACAGCAACATTGATTAGTAGCAAATATTCTGCATCATATCCTTTTTGTTTCTTTCATTTACCTTTTTTGAAAATGGATAAATGGCTATTGTGTAACACATTGACTGACTGATTTTACTTTAACGTGACATTATGGACTTATTTTTACATGCAAAGATGAGTCCTTACATTTAGTGTTTCATTCAATCTACATAAAGGATGATTGTACTCTGTTGTATTTTACTCTTTGCTTCTGAGTGGGATGGGGCAAGATCTGTACACACGCAACTTTTATTTATTAACGACAATCACAGATGAATACTTTTGTTTCTCATTTCGGACAGCAATAAATGCAAAGTTTGCGTATATTTCCTGCCTCTGTGTCTCTGCTCTCTCTTTGAATTCTCCTGCACGCTGTTTTGATCCTCTCCATGCTCCCGTGCTGCAGGATTGTGGGCGTCTAACAACACCGTTTCCAAGCCCCCCTCTCTTCATTAGGCTTTCATGAAGCGAGGCGAGGCTGTGCGAGACCTCACCGGCACCCGGGCTCCCCGCTGTGTTGATGGCCCTTGGGCGTCGCCACAAGCGGGAGGATCTCAGCGACCTCATCTCAGCTGCTGCGACGAGACGCCTGCAGCCAGCATCCTATCAAGCACAGCAGCCAGACAAAGCTCTGGTACCGGGCTGCACACCGTTCAGGAGCAGGAGGAGGGTTTTAAAAAGCAGCCACAAGCAACAACAGCCGCACCAATTTAGGGATTGGAGAATTGCAATAGTTAAGATGTTTGCGTTCAGAGTAATACCCTGGGATTTATGGCTTTTAAGTCGGAGCGCGTGGGCTCACAGTCAGCAGCCTCCTAAATGAGTTAAACAAGTGGAAAACTGCTCACGTGAAATACAATAGGAATCCCATAATGTTTGTGCTGTATAATTATAGTGCACATGAAAGTATTTCATAATTGACCTGATACACATGCTATCTTACACAGATCTAAAACAATTTGATGATTTCTCCAATTGTTCCCATGACAGAGGGTGGGGAATGTGGCAGGCGATTACCTGTATAGCTCTTCATCTAGTTAATGTGACTTAGGTATTCAATATTAATAACTCGCTGTCAAGGACACTGCAAGGACATCTCAATTTGACACTTATAGGCCCAGCATGAATATGTATAGGCAGTGAGACGCTTCAAAATTACCAAGTAAAATCACAGTTCACACATGGGGACTAATGTGATGTGGCGCATGCATTCTGATGAGCCACAAAAACAGCGGCTGATAGGTCTCAAAAGACTTGTTATAACTCAATGTCGGACCTGAGAACACTCAGGTGTGTGTGTGTGTGACACCTAACCCTATTATCAGTTGACGCCAAAAACATAGATTTGAGGGTGTATGTCCCTAATGTACTGCTTAGTTTGAAGGCCACTTTCATATGGTAAGATGTGTCGCCAGACATTTTCTTATTTGAGGTTATATTTGCAAGTAACTTTGTGAGAAATCACTGTGTTCTTCTCTCGCACAACATCTTTTTGAATCTCCGCTGACTATCAGAGCTGTCGGCTGTTGGTAGCCTCAGGCTCTTCGGGATCAAGGGCTTTGATGTTGGCCTGCTCCGGGACAACACAGTCGCCCCACAGCCTCTGGGCAGCAACCCAGCAAGTACAACACCTCGCCCGTGATTTACCTGGACTCCCTGAAGGATTGTTCACACTATGGAGTGGCGGGGGGTCCACATGGTCAAAATCAAGCTCATTATTAATATTAAACATTGTTGAACAAAGGATAAAACTACAATTAGAGTTTAAAAAAATAAAATAAAGTAATAGCCTATGGAGACGTGTTTTGGAAATTGTTGATAAAAGACGAGTTAAAACCGGTTAAAACGCATCACAGTTTTAAACACATGGTTAATGCTGCACATTTAACGCAGCTGTACTATTTCTAGCTGTCGATAAATATGAATTTGTTCCTGGAGTGCAATGGCTTCTGACGTAGTTGTCAGACCCCACAGCTCTATCAGATGAACTCAGGTAGGGGCAACTTCTTGTTCGAAAACACCTGTCATGTTACAAATGTGCTCATCTCAATATAACAACTGGATGTTATTGAACCATTAATAATAAAATGTGATCACTTTACAATAGTTATTTCATTTCATTTAACACTCCATATTTTGTTTTTAGAGTTTGCAGTTGTAGGGTATTATTTTTGCAAAAGCTGGATCTTTCTTTAACATCAATTAGGCCTACTTTAGCTAACATCAACCATGTGTCTATGGCTTAATGTTTCAACCAACTCCATTATTGTATCCTTCGATTTCAGTCAATTAGACATTATAGTTAGTTTCTATTCGGATACTTTAAGCTATACTTTCAACAATACATTGCTTTAAACTAACTTGTCAACACTTGTATTCATCTATGTTTGGCAACATTTCTTTAAAAAAAAAAATCCATTACTTCTGGCTGACTATTTCAACCCTTAACATCCTTTAAGCTAACTATTTCTACAATTAGCCTTTACTTTTAGCTAACTATAACAACAATTTAGTCATTACTTTTACCTAACTATTTCTACATTTTAATTTCAACCTTGTAGCCATTTCCTTAAGCTAGCAGTTCAAATATCTGCATGTATGCTGCTTGTTTTTACAGTCTTCATTGCGCACCATGCTCAGGTGCCTCATTTATAACGCCGTGCGTATTTCACGTGGGAAGGTTGCTTACGTAGTAGAAATCCAAAAAATAGGTACAGACATTTTCCGACATTTTCCGATTCACCAAACATTGCGTACCGGCGAGGAAAGTGCGTACGCCGGTTTCCCTTTATAAATCACAATCGACTCGAAATGCTGTGCAGCTTTTGCAGGCTTCACGTAACGCCCATATTTGCCTATAAATAGTCAAAGAAACGCCCATTCATTCATTCATTTTGACTGACTGCATTAAGAAGATCGCAGGAAATGACGGCAGAACAGCTAAAAACCGTGTCAGATTTTGGTTATTTTGGGGAGGTCGAGATAAATCATATTGTTTGGTGAATGCCGTTTGAACCAGAGTAGCAGTATGGAGGTCGGATCGTCACCAACATAAATAAATAAGTGGTCCGAAAAAGGTTAATGACAAAAATAATACACATAGCCTAACCTTCCTCAGGCAGTGTGTTTGTGCCGGGGACAGGAGACCCCCCTTGATGAGAAACTGTAATACTTGGATATTAATTATTTTTTTGTAAATTTGGTGGTTTGTGTTCCAGCTGTCGATCAGCAACTATAAGTTATATCCATAATCCACCAGTTAAAGGAAATACAACGAATGTGTTGTGTTATATTAGCTGTACAATTTACTACATGATGTTCTTAGTTTCCATACCTCCTGTGTTTTACGAGCGACTTATCAAGTCTTGGCAAACGGCATAAAACACGATTAAACGTGATAGTATATATAACCATGCTCGTTACAACCTATAGAAATGCAAAACGGTGTCAGTTTAGACGTAATTCTGTCCTCCTGCTTACCGCATCATTTATGAGAAAACATTTCATAACATTAACACAACATATTCGAGGTGGTTTTAAATAACATATCCGTATTTATTTATTTCTCCAAGTTATGTTTTTGTGTGCACTGAGGAGTCGCAAACAGGCGTTTGTTTAATCATTTTAAGATTGGCTTTAATCAATGTTTGAAAATGAATTCTTCATATTGTAGCGATATAGGGTGCTGAGTGTGTCACTCAAGCATCCCCCATCTCTCTGCCAATCACATAGCTACACAGTGATGCTGGTCTGGATGCGGGCCTGTGGTTGGGGGAGCAGACGGGGGAGGGCGGGGACGTTGTGACGTTGACCCATATATGGGTGTGAGTTGGGGTGTAGAGTGTGTGTGAGGATCATACTTGCCAACCTTGAGACTCAGAAATCGGGAGCATTTCAAAACCACCGCGGGGGGGGGAATACGTGAATGTGAATGTGCAGAATACGACAGTTTAATGGTGGAGGTACACACATATTGATAGATATCTTGTAATGCACTGTTGAGGAACCTGCGACCAAAGTTTTTCATCTCCGGCCTTGTCAGGTATTGAACAATCAATAAATAAAGAACACAGAATTATTAAATATAAAACACAAAATGTGTGTGATTATACTAAATGATTTACAAATAAACACCACTGCATATTTACAACTGTTACACATGCTGATGTAACGCAAATGTTTCCAACTTGGGATCAATAAAGTATATCTTATCTTAAGATGATCGATGGCTACTGCCATATTTGCAAAATGTGCCTCTGAACCTTGACAAGTGCATGTTTCAGGCTCATCAATTAACAACAGGAGGGGTCACAAACATAAGACCAGCTGTTAAATAAAGCTCTTCTGACCTTAGCTGGCATGTGGGTAATGCTACCCATTATGGGCACAAGCAATTTTCACCAATTTATTAATTATACGTTCTACATTTGAGTGTTTCCTATCCCCTAAACCTCCAGGGATGTACACAGTTTAATACTGGCCACTTCTTATTATGGGAAATACGAAAACGTCTTTTAAAACTACACTCCCAGTAGAGACGTGCCATAGATAGAGAACATTACATTACATTGCATTTAGCTGATGCTTTTATCCAAAGCGACTTACAATAAGTGCGTTCAACCAACAAAATACAAACTTGAAGAAAACAGAATCATATAAGTACATCAGGCTTCATAGAGCAAAAACATTTCAAGTGCTACTCAACTGGCTTTAGGTAAGCCAGTCCTTTATTAGTATATAAGTGCTCTGTTAATAGTTCTATTGCTCGAAGTGGAGTCGAAAGAGATGAGTTTTCAGTCTGCGCCGGAAGGTGTGTAAGCTATCTGCTGTCCTGATGTCAATGGGGAGCTCATTCCACCATTTTGGAGCCAGGATAGCAAACCCACGTGTTTTTGCTGATGGGAACTTGGGTCCCCTTCGCAGCGAGGGTGCAGCGAGCCGTTTGGTTGATGCGGAGTGCACGTGCTGGGGTGTACGGTTTAACCATGTCCTGGATGTAGGAAGGGCCAGATATATTCGCAGCATGGTACGCAAGTACCATTGTCTTGAAGTGGATTCTAGCAGTTACCGGAAGCCAGTGGAGGGAGCGGAGGAGCGGCGTGGTGTGGGAGAATTTAGGAAGGTTGAAGACCAGACGAGCCGCCGCATTCTGGATGAGCTGCAGAGGTCGGATGGCACATGCAGGTAGACCAGCCAGGAGGGAGTTGCAGTAGTCTAGGCGTGAGATGACGAGAGCCTGGACCAGAACCTGCGTCGCTTTCTGGGTCAGCTGGGGACGTATCTTCCTGATGTTGTAAAGCGTGTATCTGCAGCAGCGGGTTGTAGCAGCTATG